TGCAACTCCCCTATATATATATATATATATATAGAAGCTGGTAAGTAGCTGCAATGTCCGTCGTAAGACCCCTCTGACCCGATTTCGATCCTTACGAAAATGGATAGCACATATGGGGACCGGTATTCTCAAATACCACCCTTTTAAATAATATTTATATATGTATATATATGTATATATAAGAAATGTTTTCTATGGAGTCATGATTTAGGCATCATATCAAAACTTACCAAGCAGTTTCTAAAGATGTACAACTACAAAGAGAAGAAGGTTACATACTAGAACCAACCTAACGAAATGCTGAAGAAAGATCACTGTATTGCTTCTGATATGCTGGATTCACACATCGAAATATAGATGGTTTCTTCTTAGGCTTGGCCCCAAAGAGAAAATTACGCAGTGGAATATGAGCTTTTGATGGAAAATGCCTGAAGGGTCTGCTATGGTGCCTGCTTACCGGAGAACCCAAAAGTTCAAATTTCTTATGAAACTCAAACAAGATCTTGTCAACTTCAGTCTGAAGGCCCTTGACATGATCCAGACCAGCTTGCAATTCAGCAGCAACTTTGTTATTCTCACGTTGCATGTTTGAGACCTCTCCTTGAAATTTTGCTGCCTGAAAGGGAGATAACTGGACTCCATCAGATTCCAAACTTGAAGCAAGAGCAGCTGATATCTCCTCCTGTATGTTGCACAGAGAGTTGAATCTAGTTTGGGATTCTCCTTTCAGCAAATCGTTCTGTTCCAACCATACTTGCAGCTCAGTCTTTAAGTCTCTCAGTTGCTTGTCAATTGGTTCAGAATCTGAAGGAACACTGCCACTGCCATCATCAGAATTTCTCCCACTCAGTTTTTTAAATGCAGCCTGAAGATCATCGAACTCAAATTGAAATTTCTGCAATTGTTGGAAAAAAGAGCTGAACCGTAGCCAGAAATCCAAGTTCTCATCAAGCAGTGCATCAATTTCTCTTCGAAAGTTTTCCTCAACATGAGTAGTGGCTTGCCATGTATCTGTAGCTTCATATGCTAAGTCCTTTTTCACTGTGATTTGGGAAGATGAGCTTTCAGACATTATAGAGCCTGTAAGACTTGAGGCCTTCTCCTCATTCAAAATTTCAAGCTCATTTTCATTTCGGATCCTTTTCTGTTTGCTGAGCATTTGCTTCATTGATCTAAGTTCCTCGTCTTTGAATTCATTAGCCTTCTTTAACTCTTCTAATTGTGCTTTTGTTCCTAAAACGTAATCTTGATTTTTCTTCTCAACTTCAGAAAGCTTTTTCTTTAGTTGTTTATAGTTACGAAGGATGGATGTGTACTCTGCCAACAAGATCTTTTCCTTGTCTTCCACACCATTCAACAAAGGCTGTAGCAAATTGAGAGAATCATCTTGCTGAAAAGACTGAGACCCAGATTCTCTACTTAACTGAGCGGAACAATCCATATTTGCATGGACTGAACCATCCTCTTCATGCATCCCTTTGGTTTCCTTATCTCGAGGAATTTGAGGTTCCATGTTGAAAATATTGTTCTCTTTCTCTTGAGAAATGAATGCAATATTAGCCTCTTTAAGCTTGGGATCCTGCAGTTTCTCTGAATTATAAGCAGTGTCAAGAGGAGCATCTTCCAAACTTGTGGAAACATAAACATCAGCACCATTGGAAAATTTTTTAACATCCTGGATTTTCTGCAATTCCTCCTCATTTTGCTTTAATCTATCACTCAAACTACCTGAGGCCTCCATCCAAGTCAACTTCTCCTCTTCTAAACTCTCCACATGCTTGTGAAGCTCATCAGTTTCGGTTCTTAGGCTCTCTATTTGAGCATTCTGTGAAGTAGTTGTAAGTTCTAAACTAATGACTTTGTTTACAAGGTCATTAATCTTCTCTGCAAGTTCAACCAGAGACATGTCAGCACCAATCTGAACAAGAGCCTGATTTTGTTGGGGAACTTCTTCCTTGGTGGCACCATCCGAATTTATATCTTCACTTTCTTCAGGGATTAGTTTGATCTCTCCTTGGTCTTTCTTGAAAGATTTAAGCTTCTCTTTAGCCATCATTATTCTCCTTGATCCCATTCTTGTGAATTCTGCTGATCTTTTCTGATTTTCCTGCAAGTTGAGTAAGGTATCCTCACAGGATCTAAGGGCAGCGGTAGCCATCAGAGTGCGTGCTTCATCATCTTCAATTACCACACTTTTGCCAAACTCATCTTGCAGAAGATTAAGTTCCTCTTGCATTGATACTATGTGTCTTTCAATCTCCTGATATCTGGAGACTGCATTTTCATAAGAACTTCTGATAAATTCCTTCTCAGTCTGGAGAACCAAAATTTCCTTCTGAATCCTGTCTATCTCTTCTGGTACTCGGCTTCTATCAATCTTGGGAGGAATATGAGGCTCATCAAAGAATGGATTTCCATTTTTGTTGCTTAAGTTGTCCTGAGAGATATCTATTGCTAGCCTATTTAATCTACCAAAGTCTAAAGCTGTCAATGCTTTAGGTAAATGATTATCATCCTCATCTTGGACGTCAAACTGCACCTGGTCTGGAAAAGCTGTAGCTATGGTGTGGTTGGCCTTGTGCAACTCCCCTGAAATGTGATCATATCTTTCAGCTAATGCTCTATATGCTCTGTAAGTCTCTTCCACAAACTTTATGAGCTCTGGTCTCTTCTTGAAGTACAGCTCTGCCTTCTTTGAGAAGGAATCCGCATCCTCTTCAATAATCTTGAGCATTGACTTAACTCGGTCATCCATTTCTGCAGCCAAAACAAAAAAGACTCATTTTATAAATAAAAACAGGCCGTTGAAAAGGACTAGCAAACTTGAGGAACACCATAGCTTAAAGCTTTTACATAAAACTGACTTAAAACTGGCTCCATAAACTGGTTAAAAAATAAGTCATTAACTGATTGCTGGAAAAAGGTTCATCATGATTCACAAACATGTTTAATCTATTTACACGCAGCAAAATATAGTTAGTAAGCAATCCAGCTTACCACCAGCATGTTAAAGAGGAGTATGATCTTCATCTAAGCTTAAATAGAGACAAATATTACGTAGGGCATAACCTTAACAGTAGGAACCAAGAAAGAAAGTAGGGGTGAGCATTATTTGGCCAAAATCAAACTAAACTAAGCTCATTTGATTGAGTTGGTTTGATTTTAAAATGACAATTCAGTTTTTTGTTTTAAAAATTTTAATATTTAGTTTTTGGTTTGGTTTTAATATCCATTAAACCAAGGAAACCGAAAAACCGAATAATATTATTATTAGGAAATTAAATTCATTTAGGAAAAAAAACGGAGCATATGACATTTATTTTAGATTAGTTTGAATTTTTAATTTAAAAGGATGAAGAGAAAAGAAAGAGAAATAATTATTTTTTAATTTTAAAATAAAACTTTAGCTTTTAATAATCTTAGGCAATTGCTAAATTTTGGTTTTCTCCAAATCTAACTGATTAAACCAAATTATATTTCGGTTCAATTTGGATTAATTTTAACAAAAATTTGATCAGTTCGGTTTTTGTAAATTATATATTTTGATTTCATTCGGCTTGAGTAACTTGTGAACCAATTCATCCACATTAACTGATTGCACACCCCTAAATAAAAGAGTCGGCCAAGAAAATCAGAATATGTTCACATGAAATGCAAAGATCAAGCCATACCCTTCCTAAACCAGCAGCTCATAAAATGAACATTTGTGAGTTCTTTCAACCATTCTATATATAACAATTAGAGAACCTTAGGTCCGGTTTATTAAACATCACCAATATGTCACCTATGGTAAACCTTATGGCAAGAAGTCTTGAAAGCTTCACCATCATACTCAAAGTCGCATTATCCTAAAAGCAGCCATCATTCACTGAACAAGGGATTTTAGAAGCCATAATTGAGCACCAGAATCACCATGGATCTATGTCAACTAATAATAGGCTTTGGTGAGACTACAGTTCAATTTGGGCAGCTTTCTATCTAAATTGTGTTTTAGACTGCCATCATAATTCTATTTGGGAATTGCTTTCTAAAATTTTTGTTGGGCGAGCAGTTTTTTCCAACTACATAGGCTGTAAGAAAGTTGTTGTGGCTTTTTGAAAAAAATAAATATTTATAATTCATGCCACAATATTTTAAGTAGTTTTCCTTGCCACTGCTTTATAACCAACTTTATAAAAGTCTACAGCTGTCCCTAGCAGCCCCTGCATCAGCATGAATAATAGGCTTGAGCTCAGTGTGTTGGGAAGACAAGCCCAAGAGTTAGATGGGACAATGAGCAGGGCAATTTGAGACAATAAAAAACCATTTCTATGGCTTCAGCAGTAACATTTATTGTATTGGTTAACAGGAGATGCAATCCTTCAAAGTGCTATTAAACGTCCTTAAATATAAGCAGCCGATAGCTGATAGAAGATCAAGGCATCATTCTGTGAAGTTAGCGAGTAATGTCCCATGACAGGAACCAGTAAACAGTAAAGCTTCCACTAATCATGCCTTTGCATGTTATAGATAAGGTTGGCTTAATCTTACATTAATTCTTTTTTACATTTTTAAAAGGTATAAAATTCATGGCTTTAACATCTATGATAAAAATTAGTTAGAGAGGATTAGGAAGGAGGGGATGATCTAAAGTTAAATGAATATATGCTGTTCAGAAAATTTATCAGACTAAATAAGAATGAATGAAAAATGATGATTCCAAAATTCTAATGATCATGATAATGATGAGCGCATTTGATACCCTCGGTACCTTTACAGCATATGAAAAGATAAAGCAGACTAAATCTATTCAGGAAAGCATCACCAGTGACACCAAAACATTCAAACGGTATGAACATAATATCTTAATTAAAAGAAAATAATGTCTCTGTGGCTAGTTTTTGGCTTTAGCCAATGAAATATGTGTATCTTGTATATACACAGGCCGAGCTCCTCCAAAATATAACGGCAGGGATCCAGGAATCTTAAATAAAACTATTAAAAAAAAAAGCAAAAAAACATCCAGCTGAGGATACAAACCCCTGTTAGCAACAGTTCTCCCAATTTATAAACAGCAAAGTTTCTGCGCTTGAGCTCGTACTGATGAGTTCAAGGTCAGAGGATTTTAAAGGCCTGCAGGCACTTTCCCATCATATATGTCAAAGGCCAAAATGGACAGTTTCTTCAATAAACCAGTCAAACACCAAAATAAATAAGCTCAGCTCAGTTGGGTAAAAGCAGAGGTTGACTTGTCAAGAAAAATAAAGGGCATTACATATACAACACACAATTATTATGTATTAGATGTGTATTAGGTTTCCATAACCCTTATTATTTATTAATTCCCCTTATTCTGTATTATGTAGTTTCCTTTTTATATTTATTCTGTTTTTTATTTCTTTCCTTATTTGAGTCCATCGTAATTGAGTTTAAATACCCTTCTTTGTATCAATGAGAAATGTATCAATGAGAAATATGCTGCCTTGATCACCAATTCAACATAATATCAGAATCATGGCTCTAACCCTAGAGGTCCCATCCAAGCCATTCGCCACCTGCAGGTCTTCTGCCTGCAGAATTCATCCTGCCGATTTCCACAGATCTACAATTTTCTTCCTGCCGTTTCTCCAAATCTGCAATTTTCCACAGATCTGCAATTTTTTTTTCCTGCCATTTTCTTAGTGCAGTTTTTCAGAATTCATTTATATGTGAATTCCTGCCAATCGTGAACTATTCCTGCCGCTGATCCTCAGCCTTGGGCTCTAACAAACAGCTGGCCTTCCTTCTACATGCAGCTTTCTTTTGCCGTAACCCTACCAGAATTAATCAATGATCAAAATCTTAACATCTCCTTTGGCTCAGTCGAAATTATAGTAGATTCCTCCAACTCTGAACCACTTTCAGAATGTATTCTTGATTCCACCGAGGATCAACTCCCATTTACACTCCGCTGCAGACCGGAGGATTGGAAACCAACATGAATTTCTTAAACAGAACCCATAAACTAAACGACAGTAACTTTCTCCAATAATCCCAAGCAGTATTTTTGGTCATCAAAGGACGTAAAAAGTTTGGTTACCTCACAAGTATGGTTCATGAGCCTCCAAAACTGACCCAACTTATGGAGCTTGAGAAGTAGAGAACTCCATGGTCATGTCATGGCTGATCAACTCTATGAAAACGTCAATTGATCATTCAAATATGTTTCTCTCTTCAGTTAGTGTCCTCTGGACGGTTGTCCGTGATACCAACTCAGAGTAGGAAACTTTGACCAACTCTATGAGATGTCTAAGAAAATCTGGAAGACAAAACAGGGTCAATGACCGTGACCAGTACAATAATGACTTTGTTGCACTATGGATAGAGTGCGACCTGTAATACGACTAAACATGGGATTCTCCGGCCGGTCTTTCTCTCTTCTAGAAGATTATAGAAAAGGATCGAATGTTTCAATTCTTGGTTGGCCTTAACAAAGACCTTGGCGAGTCTGAGGTTGTATTCTTGGTCTGGACCCTCTTCCCTCTGCTCGAGCTGCCTTCACTGAGTGTCGTTGGGAAGAGAGCCGGAGACTTGTCATGCTTGAAACTTCTCCTCCTTCAGCTAAATCGTCTGCCTTGATCTCAAATCGTGCTCAACCCTCTTCCATCCCCCCTTGTGTCGGTCACCCCACTTGTGATTACTGTCACAAACCCAATCACACTCAGGACAAGAGTTTGAAGCTTCACAACAAACCGACAAACAAATATTCATCCAAATCCTCTGCTACCAAGGGCCTCAAGACGATGTTTGAATCTATCATGCTTCAACCAATTCCTACCCAGAACATCCCAGAATCCTCTGAATCCCTGAAAAACCAAATGGAACAATTGATCAAACCACTTTGAGCCAATCAATTTTCTGCGAGTGCATCTACCCCCACATCCGACAGGGCATTCTACCTATGGCTTCAGGGTTTTTTCCTCCTCTAGTCAATGGATTGTTAATTCAGGTGCAACGGATCACAAGACTGGATGTTTGCAAATTTTCTCAACTTAATATCCATGCTCAGGGAAAGATATTATCAGAATTGTCGAAGGCTCTTATAGTTCTATTGCTAGTAAAGGATTGGCTGTACTAATGACCAGTCTAACTCTGGAATTTGTGCTACATGTTCCTTTGTTGCAATGTAGCTTGGTAAATATCAACAAATTGACAAATGATATTAACTGTGTTGCTAATTTCTCTTCTGATGATTCTATTTTTCAGGATCATCGTTCGGAAAGGATGATTAGAACTGCTAAGTGGGTAGTTAAACTTTACTACTTCCAAAAGAAGAGCACGAATGGTGAGAAAACAACTCTCAGGAGTTGTAGCTTATCTCGAGTCATTGAATGTCTTATTATGTTATTGCACTGTCGTTTCATTCATCTTAGTTTCCAATTAAGCTTTTTTATAAATCAAAATAAACATTTAACATGTTACTCAAAAAATCTATATCAATATCATATCAAGATCATTTCATATCTATACATTCGTCACAAGAACACTGTCTAAAAGTTTATATCAATTAAGATACTTCAATATCAATATCTTTTTTCATATACGTGCACGAGTATCTTAGTGTTCCCCCACTAGTACCATTAAGAGGGGACTACATCATAATCAGTCATGCATATACAAGAATTTTATCAAAATCATTATCTACTAAAATATATTTCATTCTCATTTGTGTATCAGCCAACATATTTATAAATCATTTAAAAAATATTGTGCACATATCATTCATACAAATATGAACA